AATCAAGACACAGTTGAAATCTCGAGGACTCTAAATAAATTAATTTAGTGTAGAATGTCCCATACTTTTGCTCATGTCAGAATATGGCCGACGTCGCGCATCTTGGACAGCAAAAGATAATGTACTGTGACGATTTACACGATAGCATCCAAAAACAAATGGGAGACACCGTAACCATCGTACTCAAGGCAACATGTTGGAGCATATTACAACATGTGGATATGTTAGACAAACGTCCTTCTGTCCTTCAAGGTTATGGTCGATATGGGTTCAGAACTTATTTAGCGTTCAGAACTGGTTCTGAGATGGGTACATTCTCGTTCAAAGATACACGATGCAGAAATTCAGTCCGTAGATTACAACAAAGAAGTCTATAAATCAATCTGATCAGAATTTTCGTTTCAAAAATGATTGGTTCTTGTAGGATCCTTTTATGTTTTTTAACAGCTGCAATTTGCATTCCAATATTGTAAATGATTATGGAAATGACTTTAGTCTACTAAATATCATTGAACTTTTTATTTCATTTATCAGAATATGATATTTCACAGATCGAGGGTTGAATCAGTCTAAGATGGGGGACATGTCGGAAGTGATATTAATTTAACCTCAAGGTGACATCGGTCTCCATATACTTTCAATCAAGAAAGTAGCTCTATCGGAAAATCATCATGACAAACCTTGGGGAGTTGATGGTCAAAGTAAAGACCTAACTGGAACAACTACCTTCAAATTATTGCGATTCTGTCCAGACAATAATCCTATTGAAATTGTTTGTTTATTGATAAACATCTCTTCTTTTTTATCCGACTTGATTTTACTTGGAGCGTGTTGTCTCATTCTGGTGTGAACAAGTGACAATATGTTTGTAATACATCGTTCATTTTCTTCCTTCATCCAGCTACTAAATATAACCATAATATATTTAAATTAAGGAATCAGAGGCAAAATGTCACATTTTAATGGATGAAAATTCTATATTTATTTTTGCAATATCAAATGCGAGTATGGTCTTCATTTGGAGAATCGGCTTACTTTTGATATCTTCTGATGTCTCACATAGTGCTTGGGAGCTGTCAACATGCTCAAGCTGTATCATGCAGAAAGAACACGCCACCACAAAGTAAACCAAAACACAACTGCCAGTTTGCCATCACTCATCCAGGCGTATATTTGACTCGTAGAAAATGAGATTTTTACAGAAATCATGTCTACTTTTACTCTTCCATCCTAACCAAAGTTTTAATCACATAAGAATACCATTGCATCAACTTCTGAGGGCAAGTATTTCTGTAAGGATAAGGATAATCCTAAATACAGATAAGTGAAGAAAGTAGCAAGAACAAGTGATGATTTCATGCCAATCTCAAATCTGGGTCAATTATGGGGATAAGACTCATTTTCCAATTTGGTTCCGAATTATACTTATCTGCAATATTCACTTCACACACACACACACACATATATATATATATATAGTTTCTTATTTGCTGATTTGAAGAGAAAAAGTGCTTTCCGTACTGATAAACTTAGTGATTTCCATATAAACTATCTGAAAATCAGCAAATCAAATTCAACATTATATCATATTAAATTTTATTCTTGAAGAGCCAATGCCCCTATTCCTGGTTATGATAGTCTTGCTTGAAGTCCAAGCAAGAATCAAAGGTAATAGGTGAAGGTAGCTCTGTATTGTTAATATGTCTTATCGTAAGTAGGATATTAAGTGTTATTCTTTTCTAAAGCAAAATGTTCCCGAATATTTTCTTCCTAATTTAATTGGACTTTGCTTTGAAGGGGGGCATGATCTCAGCTGTAATTTTCAACCTTAAAATAAACTACTTTAAGACGCTGCAGTTCTTCATTATTTATGTTGCAGGCTGCATTCGCTCTCGAGGGAATTAAAAAGTTAGGAAAATGATAAATGCACGGGGACAAGTAATGAAGCTAATCCGGGTTTGCATATTCCGATGAAGGCTTTACAGTAGAACGAGAGTATCGCCAAAGAAAAATCTGTGGCGAGTCCGGACATACACAGACCCATGCCCTACTCTACTCTCTTCCTCACTCAGATGGAAACCGTCCTAGTCTTTGCTATTTACTTATGACCAGGCCCTTCATCGTCAGGTCAGGGCAGGGCAGTGCAGTACTGCCGCCGAGTAAACTTACACTGGACATCCTTCAAGGACGGTAGTCAGGCAGTTCACAAATCCACAGATCTTTCCAAAACTTGATCACGTTACAGGTCTTTTCGTGTTTACAGGTGCCTTGAACCCTGTCACCAGTCTGTTCCGGTCTCCAGCTTTTTGTTTAAATGCACTTTGTTGTGAGATTTGAGCTTCATCACATTCTTATTACCATAGCTCGCACATGGAGAGACTGACAGGTGACAAATGACAGAAGGATTTAGCTGAACCCCTTATATTGTTCAAAGTTTCGGCTAATATTGTCGTTATGACAAAAGTCACTTCAGTAAAGGTTCTAGAATTCGGATTTGTTGGATTCATCTGTATTGGAATTCCTATCAAGGGTGTCGATAGAGTTGATGAAGCTAGGAATTTTTGAATTTACATCATGCGTTAGCATATTAACTCTATTGTGTGTTTGTGTTGGGGGGTGTGTGTATATATATAGGCATGTGGCGTACAGGTTGTTCCTCCTTTGGATTTGCTTTTGGTCTCAGTGATTATTCTTTCTGATAGGGTTGGAAAAGTTCGTGGAGAATATCTTCCACAACCTTTTTTATACCTTTCACGAAGCGTCCCCATGATTCACATGGGCGTCTTCTTGAAGTCCAGCAACCACGTACTTTGTTTAAGTTTCAAGAACGAGTTGACGATCGACGGGAACATGATCAGAGATTACACAGAAGCATGAGTCGTGAGAAGGAAAAATCCAAAGTACAGCAGCACTCATGAACTAACATGCGAGGGTATGAAAGTCATTTCGCAGATACAATTTGACTGACTTTGTCCCTGCCCACTAACTCCAACCTTACAGTACTCACCCGCACACTCAGCTTCTCACAGTTGCAAAGACTTTATGTACAGTTGGACTCCAGCCACTCGGCTTCGACGTTCTCCTGCCTTTGAGCAGCAGCAGCAGTCGGTCAGTCAGTCACTGTTACGACCGAGCTGCCCAAAATATCACCTTGACATTTTTATCCAGCTTTCAGTCCAACCGACCGGCCTGTCAAAGTGTTGCATCGCCAGGTCTGCTTAATCTTGGTCGCTCGATCTCGTAATTCGGTATGAGTGAAAGATATCGCTCATGATATACTTCTTATTCGTTACAGTTCTCGATGTTGATGGGCTCCGAGTCCATGCATTGTTCACAGTTACTCCGCCCTCGGGCCTGCTCACTGATATCCTAGGGAACAAAGGGCATCTCGGGAGAAAAGTGCAATCGCCCTGCCCTGCCGGATTTTATATCGCCATCAATCATGTGTCGCAGTTTGACTCGGTCTAGACGAGCTCACTAGTCCCTAGGGATGTTGTACCTGTACCCCCATCGACCAATCGAAGGATTAAAGGGAATATCCAGGACCAGATGTTCATATGCGAAGCCGCCCCAGAATGTTCGAGGGTCGGGCTCCGATTCACACATCTCGGAGCGACTCGAGGTTTCCCTGAAGTCCAGACAAGCCTACCCTCCAGCAATCACCCGGTGCTGATGTGGCCTGTCTATACTCATCCATCCAAACATGTGGAAAGCTCTTTGTCCCTTTCTTCTTTTTCTTGAGAAAAAGCTTCCCCTGCGGGAGGTACGGCCTACCTCTCTCACCTGTACAGCAACTTTCTGAGAGGGATCGGAAATTGCTGGCCTTTCCGCGTTACCAGGGCCCAAGTTGCCTCGCCTTCGGAGTCGAGACGTGAGGGAGTTCTGCGTTTTAGGCCGCACCAGATCTTTTGGCCGCGTCTTTCCCGGCTCACCTCCCTCATTAGAGACTCTCGGTGTGCACCAATCAGTCACGTCCGTCCAGAGGCGTGTTCTCTCCTGTGTACAAATCGCATACGAAACCAAGTACGAAAGGTCCTGGATTGGCAGAGCTTTGGACTCACTGGACACTTTAGGTGCCTTCGACTTACTACATCAGGATTTGACGATTTGCATGCCTTAGTGATTTGCCCATGGAGATATGCAGCTGATGACGAGCTCTTGACCTCCAGCAGGTTTGCTGAGACGTACACAACGCTCTCTCGTATTTAGCTCGTGTGCCCTAGTTCCATTTTGGGATAGTGTCCTTTGATTTTGGTTGGATGAGTGCCAGCCGGTCTCGCAGTCAGATCTTCTGATAGTCACCCGTAAGGTTGAATTCTGGCAAACATCCTAACTTTTACACTTGTTTCAAGTGCGAAGAAGCCAAACCCACGGAGCCTAGCAAAGAGAACACATAATCGTCACTGAGGTACCAATCAAATCGCAATGCCTGAAAGTGGCATTATCATGTAGCTACCACAGAAGACCGAGGACAAATTATCGTGGAAAATGTGAACGTCCGCCAAAGTCGGCTCCAGGCAAGCTCCACAGCATGGCATTTGACACATGTTGTAAGCTGAGCTCTGTACTACACATCTCCACTACAACAAACAGTCTAAAACTTCCTCACGCATTCCTCTCCATGCAACCAGTCCAAAGTCCATTCATGTTATTTGTTATTACATTCGGACAAATTGTCACCCTTTACTGATCGAACTAAACATCAAGCCAGGTAAATTGTGGCAACACTACATGATTGGATTTCACCGCATCTGGCACGTAAACGCACGAATGAGAACATTTGTGCAAATGTTGGTCTAACAAGTGATCGACATCAAGGGCTTAACAGGCAAGGACAGCAGCCATGAGGACTCTTTCTAAGGCAGAACCCAATGCAGTAAAGCACTGTAAACAGGCCCAAAACATCTGTGCATAAAAAAGAGTCTCCTACTTAAGTGAGAGACATCAAATTCATCAAAGAGAGGTGGCTTCTAAACGTTTGTGACAGATGTTAAAAAGACGCCATTTCATATTTAAAGATACTGAAACCAAAACTCAGTACAATGCAGAATGTAACTCTCTTGAAAATTTAAGATTTCACCGGTGCACCAACCACAAAGAACACGTGTGAAGAAGAGAGCAATCCTTGAACATGAATCAGACAACTGCCAGTCATTGGAGAAAAGCGGAAGGTGGCTTTTGAAGCTTTCAAATCGTTGGGAAACGATGCATATCGTATGAAGGCACTGAAACCTGCCACTTGAGTTACCTACCTGAGCAGCAACGGGAACTGCAAGAAATTCGAAGCTGATGTAAAGTAAGGAGCAATACGCAATGAGATCTAGGAACAGTAACAACCACGGGTTCTTGTGGAAACTTATAATCTCTTTTAGTAGGATATTACAATACTTGCTGAACTAGACGACGAAACTCCGATCTCAAAATGAATCATGTGCCGCAACAGAATGTCAATATCAACCAAGAACACCAATACTGGTTCACGGCATACTTTCTGTGCGAGAACCCATGCTGGATAGTGTGTAGCATAATTATCTGTGTGTCATTCTGAACCTTGCCATCAGGATCTGGATCCCGAGCCCCTCATGCCTTCAACAACCTGAGCACATCCGCGAATAGCAGGCTTATATTTAATGTGACAATTCGGGCTTGATAGACGAGATTTACAGCAGAAAAAACCTTCATATTGAAAACTAGAAGTAATTTTACGAAATAGCTACTTTATACTTGTCCGGAGTTTTTCTTAAAAACATTGTGCTGCAGACGTCTAGGAAGGGAAACGAAACATCAAAATTGAATTTGACAACATCCTCTTAATCAGACACTCAGAATTCATCGTGCGTGAGTTTCGACGCTTCATAGTACCTCTGAGAGTTTCGGAGGTTTAACGGGTTCAGATCCGGACATCGCATTCCTGATTGGAGGCACCACAACGGGCAGAGATAATCCTGAACGATCGAAACCGAACTCAGAATGTGGGCAGCGATTTGAACGCTAGGTCAAGCACCAATCAAACGCGCACAAAAAACAGAGAACGAGTTAACGATACGACATTGAGATGGTTCGAATTACCGATCACGGAGAGAATGCATGAGGCAGAGATGACTGGATCCAACGCGATCATCGTCCTGATCGCCTGCGAAGCCATTGAAAACCGTCCAAGTCAGCGACACCTCGTCAAAAGCCAACGAATCGACCGGTGGAAGTCCTCAGGAACTCCCAATTCTTTCCTCTCTGATTTCTCTGGATTCAGTGGACGAATTGTGCACTCCTTTAGGGTTGTCACCTCGTTAGCACACGGGAATTCGCATCCACAGACATCCTTCCTTCCTTCCTTCCATAGATCGTCGACGGATATCCGTCCGTCGACGATCTACGAATCGTCTACGGTACAGACAACTCCGTCCCGCAAGTCGAGCCCAAATGGGTTTGGGAACTTTTCGTGTTGATACTTGTATCGTATTTTGCTATTTTTTTTCCTATTGATATATTTAGTTTGGTATTTGTAAATACATCTTCAAAAAGATTATGGTAGGTTTATTAGCTAAAAACGAGTATTTGGACTAAAAATTCTAGACATATCTTTAATTATAAATATTCCATTTATTTTGTTTAGAAATTTATTCTAAAATTCAATCATACCTACCATTTTTTAGTAAATCAAGTTATATTCGAATTTAAAAACCTATATTGTTCTTTCTTCTAGGTGGTTTAGAAATTATTTCATTTGTTCTTTTATGACTTAGACATTAATCTAAAATATTATAAAAAATTTAGTCAATTATAATTTAAGAGGATAAGAAAAAAAATCAATTTCTTTGAAAAATATGTTTTGAAGATTTTTGTGAATATATATATATCAATTGATAATCTATATAATAAAATTATTTATTTCAGTAGATGTATCTTATAAAAACAAAATTGAATATGTATTGAAAAAGATTAAGAAAGTATTCACATTTATAATGATTATTAAGATTATCCAATGCAGAATTTATCATTTTTTATATAATACTCATATAAAAATAGAATATTTTTTTGTTATTGTGAGTGGTTAAAAAGGTGTTTATTGATTTGATTAGTTTAACTAGATTTGGTCGTACAATATGAATATGTTGATGTAATTCATATGTGATTGATTAAGTGGATTATTGTGTGTTTACTACCACTTCGATATTAAATCCAATTATATATTTTCATTTAGCAAGCATTGAATTGCATAAATTTCATATATATTTTTATATTTTACATTAATAATTGATGTCAATGTACATATTATGATTATATTACAGTGCTTATTTATATAACCTCTATTCTATATCTAAATTTTGTCATGAAATATGTAAAGATGAAAAATGATGTATGTATCAAGCCATTGATATCTTATATGTTGATTTTTGGATTTGAAATAACTTGGTACTTAATTTAATTCACTTTGATTTTTATTATAATTTTAAAATTTAATTATTCTATAAAATTTTGCAATTTTGATTGTGCAAGCATACAGATTTTAGCCTTAGTGACACATATTGATGCTAGGTTTTCACGTTACTATTGGAAGGTGTCACTCATTGGATAGCATTTATCTAATCATATAGAAACATTTTTAATGCAAGTTTAGCGTATCGGCTAAATAATATAATAATATATATATATCTAATGGATGATTTGACTGATCGTATCATTCTTGGCGATTTGTCTTTGAATTCAAATATTTCATTATTTTTATTAAGCGTAAACTTAGTTTACAAAGGTAAAGCAGAGTTACAAATAATGGAAAGTGAGCAAGTAGAGTTGAGGTCTTCAAGACTAATCAGAGTTATAAATGATAAAAAGTGAGCAAGAAGAGTGGAGGGAATTTGCAAATTGATTTGTGTATTTTTCAACTGTAAAATGGTTGAATGAACAAAATGAAAGTAACGTAACACGAAATAAGAATGGAAGGGCTTTTATGGTGAGGATTTGTGTACAAATCAGTTTTAATAAATTGAGGTTACAGAACCACCATTTTTGTTTCTCATACAGCAGCAGGGTGTTGAGGAGAGTAGACATGACGGACGAGTGATTGCAAGAAAGGCCTGAGGCAGCGAGGAGCAGTCAAGGCAGGATACATGGTGTGGTTCCACGCCATGTGAGCGGCGAGCAAGATACGAATTCAAAGGTTGAGAGTTTGGCTGGAGTAAGGGCAATGAAGAATCAAATTCAAATTATTTTTTTAACATTACTCCTGTTAGACCGTCACTGTTAGAAAGTATCATGTCACTATTGCCAATAATGATAGTATAGTTCTTAGCGATCAGATTTACAAGTTAAAAGCTAATGGTACTTGAGTTTTATGTCACTGATAAGAGATGAGCATAAAACATCACAGTCATTATCAAACTAATCTAATTGTAAATGCAAACATCTAAAACAGTTCATGTGAAGATTTGTGTAACATGATGAATGTACTTAAAATCTAGATTGAGAACGCTCTTTTAATTTTTTAATAAGAAATGTGAATAATTTGTTTAAAAAACAAGCAAATAACAAAAACGGCTTTTCTTGAAAGATGAATTGCTGAGTTAAAAAAAGTTGTTAGTTTGCAACTTCTTGAATTTGAAATCAAGTAAAAAGTGTATAATATGTTTGGAATAGGTTTTGCAACATGATGTGACAAAAATGTATTGTAAAATGATTGTTGGAAAATTATTTTATCATGAACATCAAGTAGAGCAAAATTGGACAAATAATTTGCATGATATCATGAAATGTCATGTATCTGAATACAAATTGCAAAGATTGATTGATGCTAGAAATTTAGGTTTTTTAATATTATATCGAAATATTTTTACTAAAATAAAATGGTTATTAAAATTTATCATTATAAAAACGTAATGAATGAATGAGTGTGACTTTTATTTTTAAAAATACTGCAATTAGGCGTAATAATTTTGCTACAGCATTTGTATTGAAAGACATTTTGTGTGTGTTTTATTCATTGACAAATTAAAAATTATACAATGCAGAGATGAATAAAAAATTATCAATTGATTTGTATTCTGTATAATTTTTTTTATGTCACAAGCTTATTGATGAATACTATAGTTGCAATATTGTTAGTTTTATTTTTAATCATGTATTTTATTGATTTTTCAATCATCAATAGATCAAAAACACAATTGAAACAATGATAAATAAAACAAATTTTTATAATTTGTTCAATTATGATTGCTAAAAAAGATGAAAAAGAAAAAATTAAAGTGCAATTGATTTTAAAGCAATAGGTTGAATAGCATTATAATAATCAAAATAAAGAACAATTGAAAACATAATATCCATATTCATATTTAAATGATATCAAAATACTAATTTATCAAAAATACATTAGCTAGATTTGTGATTGGTTTTTAAGTTGATTCATATTTTTTTTATATATATATATATATATATTCATATATCAAACACTTTGTATATTGATATTATGAAAATATTGTCATTTTAAAATATAATTTCTAATTCAAATTTCTAATGATCAGCTGTTAAGATTGATAGAGAAGATGATGCTGATGGATTTCTAAATTGCACAGGATGTGATACATAATTTTGCCATCATGACATTTGAGATATTTCATGCATTTCATATGTGATAAAAAATTTAAGTTATATGAAACTTCATCAATCTGTTTCAAAAAATCACAAAAGTATTGATTTTTGATCCAGTTACAAAGAACAAATGTGTTGTAGATAATGAATCATGATAACTTTTTGAAAAATCAACTTCCTGCAATCATCATCTGTATGATTTTATTGATAATAAAATTTCAAAACTTTTCTTTATTAGTTTTGAAATATAAGACTCACTTAAAGTAAAGCCGTAGTAAGAAATAAAGAAGTTTTGAAACACAAAAATGTTCGATATATCTTTTTATTTTGATGTAAAAGATGCTAAGCATCTTCACAAACGTTACACCATTCGGTATCAACTTAAGTTTATTCCTACATTTGACATCTATGGAGTGCAAATCAGTAAGATGATTCATGAAAAATGTACATGAATGTCTGTTGTGCATATTACCCCATCTTTAGAAACCATGCGGAGAGAGAATGTACATGCTATAAACTGGAGAAACTAAGAAGATATTTCACATAAGCAATCACTACCAACACTCAACCACAGTCATCGTCAACACCAATAGAGCAGTCACGAAATCTTTTTGAGAAAGTGCAATGTGATAGAGGAAGCGAGGATAATACGTTTTAAAAATCAGTTTATTAATGCGCTCAAGAAGATTATGCCACTTGGCCATCTATTACTCTCTAGGAATGAATATTGTTTCACAAATGACATAGTGATAACATATTGTTATCCATATAATTTGATGCAAATTGACCCATTTATTTATGCAATCAATTCAGAAGATTATATTTCCAGTCGACATGAGTTTCTTGTAACGGAACAGAGCCCACAAAACTTCCAAAACTTTGTAGAAAACACTTTGGAGATTCTGGTCAATCTCCAAAGTTTGACCCTTGTGCTGCCAAGTAATGCGAGATCTTTGCTGCCCCTAAGGTGCAAGTATACTCTGTACAACTCCTGGCGTCCCGCCTATTGTCGGTCAGGGCTCTAACCACTGAGGTCCCTTGTGCTACCGCTCTTGCCGCGGCAGGTGACTTCCACCGGATCACTACTCATCTCCGGTGAAGTTCCCCCTCTGCGTCTTTCTGGAAAGACAAAAGGGATTCTCGAACCCCAATTTGAGAATGTCAGGTTTAAAAAGACTCGTGGCCAAGGTTCTAAATTCACGAGGTCACGCAACTCTGGCGAACTGTTCTTGCGGCACGCAAAATTCAGAAAAAGACATGATGTCACGAGCTCGTAGTCTCGTAGTTCAGAAATCAGCATGTTTGCTGGCCGAAGAGATGTAGGTTTCAAGCTGGGGTGATCCACTTCTCAAGCTTCTCAGATCCCTCAAGTCCGCTTCAGAATCTCTAGCAATGTTGCCAACTTTCTGTCTAAGAGTTAGCACCCAAACACACACCTCATTGATACATCATGCGACAAGTAAACTTAGCCATGAGACTTCATAAACCTGGTGATCATTGGAGCGTGGCAACCATATCGCAGCTTCGTAACAATACTGTCGCTTCGCAGCGAAGTCTATTGCGGTTGTAATATTATGCTTCGATCGTATGAAGAAAGCCAGGAGGAGGTAGGCAACGAGGCAGAGAAGGGACAGGAGTATATGAGTCTCCACGTACTGGAGAAAAAAAAATGGGGTGTTCATATTCGGATACAAGATTACAATCCGTTGCTCGTCAAGCTCTATCGAGGCAGCTATGGGCTGGGCCGGGAGCTCCATGTTTACAAAATTTATGCCTATCTATTGTACACTATAAGAGCGGATTCCGATATTATTTCTCTTCTTTGGCTACATCGCTACCATTACTACTTTCGCTTACGTGCTCAGCGGTGCTCTCCAATCTATCCAAGCTGGAAATGGAACTTTGCGAGGCAAGCGAGCTTTGAGAGCTAAGGTTACTTTTTATCGAACTACTCGCTAGTGACGTTAGATCCCACTCACTAAAGTCGTGATGCAGGTTTGCATTGTTCAGCTGCGCGGCCAGCAGCTGTTGACGAGATTCTCTGTCTGCAGCTTGTACAATGCTCGTCCAGGATTCGATGGCCTTGTCTTCAGCATCCGTGCCGTACAGCTCCAACACCGACGTCGCCCTTTCGTTCAGTCTTTGTAGGTTCGAAACCGCTGGGAACGCCTTGGCATCCGTCAGCAGGTTGTGTTTCCCATCTTTGAGTGCTATCAACTGCCAGTGTCGCAATCCAGTGAGCCATCGACGTTAGCTCTCTTTATATTTGCAAGCAGTATTACGCAAATGAGCGGGATTCAGTTGATGATCGCTACGAGGACCGGGGGATGCATACACATACATTCCTTTCTCTCAACGCAAAGAGATTCCATTTCATCAGTAAAATACTGATTCGCTGTTTTCTACTGAAGCTGAGGGTTTCAGAAAAGAGAAGGGGGAGAGTGGGGTTTACCTCTCCCGGACCGCCCATTTGACTCGTGGAGAAGATCTTGACATGGTCCACAAGGTCGCAGTACTTCTCTAGCGAAGCTGCGAACAGTTTGTGCGACCTTAGCTGTCCCTTTACCGGAACGCCCCTTTTAGTAATAATAGCCCTCCTGCAAAACCATGTCCGCCTGTCAAAGTTGGATTCTCCACGCATCATAGGGTGCGCAGCGCGCTAGTCGATAGTGTCCGAGGTCAGGCATCTATTTTTGGATCTTCTCTGATTCAGAGTCTATCAACGCCCATGGGATGATGCACACTAAACACGACACTGGTGACTCATTCTCGGATGATACCGCCTGAGTGCAGGAGGCCTGTAATTGCACAGATGTAATCCACGAATCCTCCCGTCCTCATCGAGAATCGTGAATCCGGACGGGTTTGTGGGAAAACACGTATTCACTACACAGAAGGCTGATAACGCTTTCTCGGATGTTACCGCCTCAATGCAGCCCGTGACTGCACACATCTCACCCGGGAATCTGCTGACCCTCGTCGAGAGTAGTGACTCCAGACGAGCGAGTTCGGGGGAAAAGACTTTTTCCCCAAGCAGGCCTTTGAATAAACCTGAATTCTGGATGCTTTGCTCGTCTGCTTTCATGAATTCTGGATATTCCTGAATGCAGACGAGCAAAGCATCCCAAGGCCTGGGAATCCTAGGACTTGTCAACGCCCTCCAGGAGAAGGACGATAGAGTTCCACAGGAACGCGACCGACAGAACGAACGAACTGGGAGGACTCGATTCTAGCATCCGGACAGTGCCAGTGTCAAGGAGGAGGAGGAGGAGGAGGAGGGGCTCACCTCATGCCCCGCATGACGGCCATGTGCGCGTCGCAGGTAACGCCGACGAACTCTATTCTGTAAGGCTTCTTGGCGAGCTGCGGGGGCTTGGCTGCAGCGCCGTCGCTCGATCCATCGGCCGTGGGCTCGACCTCAGCAGGCTCCCAGTAGATTTCCGTCACGGTGCCGTCCGGTTTCTCCAGATAGCCGGGACCCATGCAGTACTGCCGGTTGTGGACGTCCCGGGCCATGGCGATGGTCTGCAGGACGAACGGCTCCCACGACATCGTCCCGTCGAGAATCACATCTCGGCCTTCGTTCAGCGCTGCCACCAGCAGAGCTGACGCTGCGTTCGTCGAAGACTGGTGAACCTGCCACACGCCCACCTCGATTCCATCAGTGCTGAGCGCCCATGCTGCTGTCGGATCTTCCTCACTTCTCTGCTCTAGCCAAATGTGAAAATCGAGCTCCGGGCTTTTCCCATCAGCTCGTGCGTTCGTGTGCCGGTCCCACGAATGGAAAGGTTCGAGGGGATGGATCCCAGCTCGCTCGGGTCCCACCCGTGATCACGTCCCGGTTGCCTCCACGGGAAGAGAAAAGCTCCAGGTCGGAACATGCACCAGAGGACCAGAAAAGAAGCAAAACGATCGAATGAATGAACGTACGAACGAAGGAAGAGCATGGGAGAGCAGCGTGTGCTTACAAGCTCGGCCGCCTCCGAGATGTGGCCGGCGCTCATGGAGCTCAGAGCGCGGTAAATGACATCGTTTTCCTTGAAATTGTCGGCTTCCACGACGACTGCATTGTGAGCCACGCCGGCCCAAAACGGCCTGCACGACAAGAATTGGATGTGCGCGGGTTTGTTAGAAATTCGATCATCGAGTCGAATACAGCGCACGGGCTCACGATGCGGAAATTGCGCTCTCCAGCGGAGATGTGCAGGCGGGCATGCGGGCGTACCCTTGCATGATCTCTTTGACGACCGTGCTCTTGCCGGCACCCATGCCGCCGCCGATGAGCAAAAGAACGGGACTACGATGGGCCGAGTCTGCCGGCACGACTACAGCTCCTTCCTGAGGAATCGAAGGATTGTGACGTCCCATGGCTTTCATCATTTCCAACATGGTTGAGAAAATCCTCTTGGTCTTAAGATCCTGCATCACCCTTTGATATCGCTGCTTCCTGCGGAAATTCCAAATCACAACCGCACTGCGTCAGTTCACGTCCATCCCTTACCAAATTTGATTGTCATTCCCATCGTTGTCACTCCCTCTCTCTCGTGCAGCTCTCGATGCCTGCTGATTACAGTAGCTGAAAATGCGGAGCGAGCGACTTAGGCTGGAAAGCTGAATGGTTGTACCTCGTTGCTGAAAGGACGGCTTTCTTCAAGGATCTCTTCTGCTTTCCTTCGACGTTTATGACCTGCATTGCCATTGCCCATCGTTTGAGTCAAATCATCCCCACAATCCTCTGACGCGTTCGATTCAATGCGCTGAATTGCAGTCACTATGGGATCCACTTTGTGAGATTTGATGCCGATCACATTGGTGCTAGCGAGCCCAAGCGGGAATGAGAGCGAGGCAGTGGAATGCCGTGATGAGGAGGACGAACCTGATCAATGATTTTGCCCGTGTGCTCCCAGTGGAAACTGAAATAGCTGAGCATGCATACATCCAGCTCCTTGACGAGTTGTCGATTGAGGTACTCGATCTCATCGTCGGTGGTTCCTGGGCAAATTGAGGAAAGGAAAGTAAAGATAATCTCGAGACTGTCGTCCGCTCTACTCTTGTCTCCTCTCAGATAATCTTCCGCGACCTTCGCCACGCGCATGGCTGCTTGGGTCTTCGCATCGAGCCCCATCTGTCGAACTGCACATTCCATTCCCGAAAATGAAACGTCAGCAACATTGTTTCGTCCGATGGACTGACCACGGGTTTGCAATTTCGCCGGACTCTTGAAATCTCGAAATCTCGAAATCAACTCCACAAGAATCATATTGCGACAGAATCAGGAACGCAGGTGCAGTTCGAAACAGAAAGAAGAGCGAGGAAGGCAGAATGACACTCACCGACATACTCCCCGAATCGTTCGATCGAGACTACAACTCCTGCATCCGAGTACGTTATTTTTGGGGTGATTGTGTCAAACTTAGACCGCTTCTGTCGCTGATGTTTCAAGTAGAAAATGATGTTTACGACTCCGACCGCCAGAAGAGCTGTGGCAATTCCATTGCTCATCTTCTGTAGCGCACCATAATTCATTCTCAACGTCGACGACTTCAAGCGCTTGCAGTGTCGACCTGCGCAAGGAAGGCGCGAGTGAGGAGCCAAAAGAGTAGATCGCCAATCATTCTCCCAAGATCTCTCCCTTCTTTGTAACAAATTTTCCCTCCTCCCTCCCTCCTTCCCTCCCTCCCTGCGCAGCAACAAGTGGATCGCTCTGCGTTGAGGGCTGGCAGGCGGAGACCCCGTCACAGCTCTTCGATCTCTGGGATGCTCATCCGAGACTTGGATCTAACGGCGCAAGCCGGGCATGATCGTCTGACAGGGAACAAGGGACAGGGGATGTTGGAATTTTGGATTCATGCGGCGTAGGGTCAACAAGTCCGTGGCGTAGGCCGAGCGCGACTCGAGGGGGACAGATGAATTGAATTGGAACGAGCGCAGGCTGGAGTGGACTCACCTCCTTCACATAAGCTGAGATCTCTACTCGGGCTTCCCAATACCATACACATCAAGTTGGCAATATTACACTACACCACGCCGTTTGACTCGGCAAAGCTAGCACTCCCCTCCAAATCGCAATCAATTCTGTTTGGAAATTTCAAGAATGTGTTCTAGTTTTCGCCCCTCCTTCTCCGCCTCTTCCAGCTGCTGCGTCCTTTTCTCCTCGTGGAAGGCTTGGCGCTCTCCCGTCGTCAGGAGATCTCGAGAGCAATGGTGAGTGAAGGAGAGGCTCCTCATACACAATAAATCCAGATCCTCTCTTCAGAATCTAATACTGTACTGAAAACTAATTCGGATTCTTCCTGGCGTCTGCGTCTGCGTCTGCTTCTGCTGCTTCGTGTTCGTGTTCTTGTTCTTGCTTCGTTCGATCGATGGATCGAAACAAATTGCTAGTGAGCCAAGCCAAGCTTGCCAATGTCACAGAGCGTGACAACAAGCTCCTTTGGCTGCAATGGCTCCGGTGATCTCTGTCGTGCACTCTCCTGTGAGTAGCAGCACCCACAATCAGTACTAGTAGTAGTCGCCGTCGTCGTCGAGTCGAGGCACGCGCAGGCAGGGAGGCAGTCACTCCCACACTCCTCGAGCCGTGTTGTTCGAATGGCAGCGCAATGGCCGCCGGGTTTAAAAAAGGATCTACCATGCGCTTGAATTTCGGAGGACCCAAAGTAGCACGTGCATTTCGTTAATCCCCCACGTAGCCTCAAACTCTCACATCGAGCAGGACCCACCTTTCTGAGAATATGCTGCCCAAGTCCTCCCTGCGCTGCATATTGTTTTCTACTTCCTCCGCTTCTGCTTTTCTCTTCGTGGTCGTCCTCGTCGTCTGCGTCCTCCCTAAGCGCGTCCATAACTCGGTCCTGAATCTCGCCCTCCTTCCAGAATCCCCACGAACGAATCCTTCTCCTCCAAGCGCTTGAATAAACCCTGCCTGCAAATTTTCCCCCATCCACAGTCCGACGCGTGACTCCCGATCCCGTCCCTACGCCATCTCTCCAGTGGCAGGACTCGATCCTCAATCACTCTCTCCACTCTCGGGATAGACTGCAGTCAACAGAAGATTCGAAACAGTAACGGATTTTGGCGTGTCTCTATCCAATGATTCCGATCTCTCCCTCCAAGGTCAGCAGGCCCAAAAAGGCTCGGGAACACGTCTTTTGGAACTCCTGCTTTGACCCGAGCTCCTCGACGTCGAGAACGATCCGGACTTGGTGCAGCCATGCGCCTTCCACACTGCACGAACGCTGGACGAACCGAGTCACCGTGTGCGCCGGAGCAGACTTCATCATCATGACGCGAAGTCTGCAGGGATGCAGTCGAAGACTGACAGAGCCGGGCTCCTGCTGAGCGCCGAGGAGACCTCCCCGCACGGAATCTGTACTTTTCGTCCATGAACCCTTCTCCTCATGCTTGTTCAACGGCATTCCATGGGACCGAAAACATACCAGAAGCTTGCCAATACCCATCGAGCTCTACAATAATATAGACCTTCAACAAGACTGGGTAAGCCGGTCATCCCATCCGGTGTTCGCTATTGTGGCCGGGTCCAATAACATCAAAATAAACGAATTAAGCATCACATATGGCTTCTTATTGAAAAAATGGGTTTAATAATGATTGAACTCAACACTATTTCACAATTTTTACATGAGTATTACATATATTAGACTTATTGTAATCTAGCCTTATTTCAGTATCTTGTGATATATGTAGAGTAATAAAGGCTTTATCTTAAGCTACACAGTGATACACATATCTACAACAAACGTGTCAAAGTCAACCAGTTAAGACCTCTTTGTAATTTGAATGGTAGAGTAGCAAAGAAGTGAACTCCATACATATTTGAAGGCTTTGATTGTTCTCACCCCACTTTACTTTCTTTGGTCCATAAAATTCTCCTCTAGCATTCTCATATGTATGATGAATCATCACCTTGTATACAACTATGATTTAGTTTTTCCCTATCCAATTATAGATTTGTCTCAAACTATTCGATTGCAAGATATAGCAATGTTATTTCGATTAAAGGTTTTTAAGATTTCTGATTTACTAAAATTATCATATTGTTAATGACATTATTTCTGCTCTGTGAATGAACATGAAACTATGTGAACTCTTATTGCTATTACAACTGTACTTCATTCACACATTAACAATAAAGATGGATTGGCCAATGAAGGCGAAATCTCAACGTGGTGAGACAAACTTACAGTCATACACTGTATAAGCCATATGTTGATATCATACTTATCTCTAGAAGTTGTTAGTGAGGAGAACAAAACTATACTTCGAAAATTTGATTCTTAAATAGTCAAAAATCTGAAAACATCATCAAAGTCTAATGCTTTGCCATTATTTTTAATGAATTCACAACCGTAAAGATGACAAACACATTTTTGTTCAAGATATTGTTGTCGATTTTGAGTAGTCTTGTGCTGAACAATGACTTCATTGTATGAAAAGAGATGCTGATAGATAAATGAAAAAAGCTAGATAGAAAATATCAAATGAAAAGGACGAAGCTTTGTTAATGATTCACCAATCTCCTTAATTCTTCTAAAACTGGAAGCAATTGAACTGCTCTTAGTATCATTTTTACATATTCATATGCAAGACAATCCAATCAGTATAGAAATCTAGAAGGCTCTAATGTCCAATAAAATTGTTTCACAACCATCTCGTGTGGCAATTCTGAACTCGTATGGACATGCTGCTAGAAGAATAAACTATGGTGTTTGAGCTCAACATGGCTACTAAGTCACAATAATATCTTTTCCATGATGAATGGTCTTCTGCTCTTAATACTTTTCTCCATTTGAAGAAGCCTACTAGCACCAGACAAGCAAATCTTCACTACTGCAACTTGTTCAGCTACTAATAACAGCTTCATGAAAATAACAAGATGATCATATAGTTATAAACAATCTTGAAGATGCTTAGATAAAATATTTGACAAGATTATTTAAGATAAGATTATTAATACATATCAAACAGAGCAGCCCATACTATACTGTGTTCTTGACAGTTTTACGCGCCCACTGTCCAAGCATACTGCTCACATAAAATTTTAACTTACACAGCATCCAGATAATTCAGCTAGTTTACACAATATGTACTTTTGTCGATGCTACCTGCCCATTCATCCAGCATACAGATTTTCTAGATTCAAAGTTAGACAGCGTCCAGATGATTATGTCAGAAAAAACTAGTGGGACTTTGCAACAGAAATCTAAACCAGGAAATTTTATAACCATGTCTTGTTCTTCACCTAATTGCCACTCTTCCCACTTTAAAAGAAAAATAGCCCATACATCATTTGGAGAGCTTGTTGCATATAAGCCTTGTTTTTTTTTTATGAAACCCGATTTTATTAACTTATATATATATGACTATTATTCTTATAAAATTTGTTCAAATATATAGGACACTTTGATCTTAAAGCATCGTATTCTTTGAAATTTAGATTCTTCTTCAGTGTTTTTCCATCGTTCTGCCGCTTATAAAAGTATGTATACGTCTCTCAAGGACTATGAATCTCTAGTGTAAGGAGCATGTCTCTGCAACAAATTGCATCCTAAGAGGAGTGAGATGTTTAGTGTGCTGTTGACTAAGTCAGATAGAATCCAACAATGCAAACTACAGTCCGACCTCATCAGTCTCATTATCGATCATCGTCGTTGTGACGATGTTCAGGAGAATTAGACTCTGGCCATCACACATCAAAGAACACGACAACTCTTGCTTTAGAAAGTACGGTCACTTTCAGGTCCCTCCAGACTGGTAAAGAGCAATCTGAATCATTCTGCTGTTGCTGATTTTATCTCCTTGCAGATTGCCACCTCGGGGTTAGTTTTACAGCCACATGTGAGATTATTATTCCATTAACTGTTCCGATACATAGAGGGCCCTCTCAGATCGATTTCGAAAGAAGACGGGGGACTAGGGAAGCTGCAACTTCATGCCCTGTAAGTGGAGTCGTAAGAGGAAGAATGTGGGGGCCAGAGCACCTCCTCATTCATGATCTTCAGAACATTAGGCTGTTAAAAGAACCGTAAATATCAAAAGTTTGAGAATAACATTTGAGTATTTGAGAATAGACTTAAAAAACCTTGCACTATCTTTCTACCAATTTGACATTGGTTCATCGTAGTCAGCCAAAACTGTTCTTGGCCACTCCCTGCTCTCAACATATCAAGTAGAATGGGGTAAGACCGGTGGGTCAATAGAGTCTTTGCTGAATCGGTCCACACAAATGGCATGGTACTTGATAGCTAGCCTGTATGAAGATTCATATTTTTGTACGAGTGTATGGCGGCAGGTTCAGACCAGGATTCCGGTTAGACAAGACTGATTCGTCTTTTGCACAAATGTGTTTAGAGAATACTACAACTGACTCAAAGGAGCTATGTTTGAGATATTTCCATCCAATGCCAGTATCTTGAGGATACACGGGTCCACTTGCTTTGCTAACTGGCTGACTGGCCACCGTCAGGCTCAGCAAAAGTGTGAAATATGCTTCCAAAAGTGTGCAAATATGTTTTTGACAGTCAACTTTATGATACCCTTGTAACGAACTGGGCTTTATATGTACTTCAATTTTAGCAACAGTTTATAAAAGCAGCCTTATCTACTCTCAACGATCTCGATAAAGTACTCAAGCGCAAGTTGAGGTGTGGGTTTCATTGTTGTCATATACATATACTTACACGATTTTCCTTTATTGTTTAAAAGATACAATTGTTTAGTGATATGTGTGCATTAGAACTTAGTTGCCGTAGGTTATGGTTTACTGTCGGGTTAGTTGACTAGACACTGTCAAAAAACAAAAAAGATTGGTAGAAGATAGACAATACCAAAGCGGTGGGATAGGGCTAGACCCTAGCCTACCAACCAGCTCATCCAGATATTATTATATATTCCCTTTTATTCTTATCAAGAAAAATAGAATATTGCAATTTCATTAACCAAATCGAACATATCTATGCAATATAAAACAGAGCAAACTGCTGCTACTTCTTCTTCTTATGAATAGAGGTGGACATATACTTCATACTCTTGCCCTCCATATGCATGGAATGTTTGGATGGTAATTGAATCATTTCATTACAGATTCTGCTTGCCTTTATCATATTAGTCATATTGGTGCACGTTTTGTCCCTTATCTTATTGCATATAATTTGCATTGCATTGTAGCATCTATCCGCTTCATCTAATGAAAGTGAGGTTGTTGCTGTTGGCAGTGCTTGTTATGAAATTCCAGCTATGAAAAGTACTGAGTTTCGCAAGTAAGTGACATTATAGGCGCATAAATGATTACTGATTTACTCCCATATGAACTCCGTTTCTGAAACATGGGTTGGGATGTTACCGAACATTTGATGTTAGTGTGAAATTACTGTTGTTTCGCCTGTCATATCCGACTAATACAACCCAATCTGGGCCTTGAAGGAATTTGACAAAGCTCTCCCTCTCTCATCTAAAGTTTGTCGGTCTTCCTCTTTTTGAACCTCACAAAAATCTATTAGCTGTCTAGGAATCTTAAGCAGCAAACAAAGGTCAGAAATGGGAACCTCCATATGCCCAAAGCAATAAGAAACTCATGTGGTTCAGATGTTGACATCTTGGAAACCATGATATGTTGGAGCAGGGCACGTGGGAAAGTAACTCACTCCCCTATTAATAGATTTTTTATGATGAGGTTATCACTATGACTAGTGTATTTACTTGCTCATGCAAAGAAGGTGTAGGATCTTGAACTCTCCTATTAACCTTTGATTAACATATATGTATTGCTATGTATGGAAAGCACTAGTTGGTGACACCAACTAGTGATTTTAATAACACCAACTTGGTGTTATTAAAAAATTATTATTGATCAGGTTGTCATCTTATTGTATGTAGAATGTTTCACTTCTTTTGTTTGGACTCTTTAGAAGTATCATGACAAAAATTTCACAACTGAATTATCATGCATTAGCTCCATAAACTTAATTTCTTTTCACCTAAGTAAGAATCATTGATTGTATGTTTTTTATTATATACTTGTTTCTTTTTTTATGATGATTCATGGGATATAACAAGAGGATATAGTGAATAATAGAGTAAAAAAGAGTAGGAACATGCAATTAAGTATTGCATGAAACCCGGAATTTATAATGTTGCTAGATCCTGATAGCATCACAATGAAAAATTTATCACTTGAGCTAAAACATCTAGATCAAATAGTCTATATATTACTCGAGCATAAAATTGAACAAAACCTCCTGTAATTGATCTACATTGAATTGAATCAGCAATTGGTTCACGTGAACCACTTCGTTAGCTCCATAAAACTCCAAGAAATGATAATAACTTGAACTCTCTACATAATCTCATACTTGAACACTTTGATTATTGCTAGTACACTCTTAGACCATCAATGAGTATGATAATTGTGTGATGCGTAGTATCTAGAACTCAACGTGATACCCTTGGGAAAAAAATGGTATACCTGAGCAACTCCAAGGTTTACTAAAATTGTCTCAATGAAAAGTAGGTAATCGGAAAGTAACGAGATTCATATGAAGTATCATTGCATATAGGTGAGACCACATTCAAATGAGTAAAAATTCATAAGTCTTCGGCTGTCCATTGTCCGATTTGGGGAAATAGCTTATGCTTGTATTTAGAAACTTATTGATTCTGAGCTGAATATTGTAGCAACAAAATTGTAGAGTAACAAATATATTTAATTGATACAACAGAATCTGATGTATCAATCTGAATTACAGAATCATGTAGTTCACAGTGCCTACGGAGATAAGAATGATAGACTCAAGGAAAATTGAAAGCATATGAAGACACCTATATTAAGAGTATTTTCTTACCAATTATTTGTTTCGAGTGACCGAGTGTCCAGACAAACGACAATGGAACTGCAGAAAGAATGAACTCTGTTTACATGGTAAGGTAGATTACGCAGTGTAACGAATCTCAGTGGTGTATTGCGGACCAAGTAGCTGACTGAAAAGGCGATTTGGCTGTCCACCATTCCCACCGTACTTTCTCTAGTCCAACTCTTGGACTGGTAGAGGTGGAGGTCCGTGCCTGGTCGACTTGCTCTTGCATGCTTAGCTTCGTCACCGTTTCGAGTTGGACTGCGTGCTGTGCTGAAACATGTGCCCACCAAATTCCTGTTGTCTGCCAATGTGTGCATTTTCATGTGAACGAGGGCGCCCAAGCCTATGCCCCGACCCACCTAAAGAAACTACTTCATGGGACAAAATAGTACGCGGGAAACCAGCCTTGTCGACATACATGATGTAGTTTCATTCATACTTGTACGAACTTTTACGTACGGGTAGAATACGAAAGTATTTGTAACTTAATTGTCAAGTAAATATAATCTTATTGTCCTGATATTGATAATTGAACTCTATGAAGACATGATATTTACAAGGTTCTATATCGTCTGAATTCAAGCTCTTTATGGAGGAACATGACGACTAATGTTGGCAATTAATCGCGACCTAGAGCTACTACCGGTGTCATGTTCGTACTAACGCGGGGTATAGGTCTAAACATGTGAAAAATCTAGGACAGAAGAACTTGTAACAGACTATACAAATCCACTTCCAAACCCTTTGGAGTAACTTTTGCAACTCAAAGTATGAGGATACCTGTTTAATTTGGACAGGGGTACCATAGTGAATCTGTGTCGGTTACGAAGATTTTTTGTTTGTAAATAATTACAACTTAGCTTATTAGTGAAGCATTTGATTCCTTCAAGAAAGGAAAATTGCCATATGTGCTTGCTTCAGATTAATAACTGGACCAATCAATTCAGTCTTTCGCACAATACGGAGTTAGGGAAAATTGTAGTAATTTTTTATTAACCAAGTAATGTCATACATCGTGGAACTGTTTTTCCTGCAATAGATTGTAGTTTTTGATCCATACAAAAAATCTTTTAAAACTCTTTTATTCAGTTTAACGTGTGTACATCTAATAAATATATTTTTATGATCAGATTAATGAAACTGACCGAAACACGTTAGAGATTGGGAAATTGCAATGTGAACCAAGCTCCATGATGGAACTTTTTCGTTCCACTGGATGTTTTAAAGCATTTGTGGCTCATATATATCTGATATATCCCATATCAAGATATCATCAAGCTAATCTTGGTCAAGTTCTTTTGTGAACCTTATTGGCAAATATTGATATTCTTATGTGTCTAAGGTTGCACCCAAGCTCAGATCCGTCACTCTCCTCTCTTACTGTCATTAAGGTCTGTAGTGAAGGTTGATGTCCCTTTCGCTTTTGGTGCATCCAGTGCTTATCCTAGCAAAGCTTCTAACTAAACCTCTACAGAACCTCACTGTTACATCAGTGTATATCCTCTATCACTGGATGAGCAAAATTACTAAGTTTGAGCAAAAGCCATAGCTACCATCGAAACTCTATGATGTGCTCCTCCTCATCAACTTTTGGGTTCAGTGGAGCTTACATCGCTATTGAACACCATAACCAGCTCGATCGCTATGATGATGTCGCCTCTCGAATAATACTGATAGAATGCTTCTCGAAAGCACAACTACGTATCACAACAAACGTGTTGTGAATGACAGTGCAAGACGGCTAAGAAGCGAGACAGAGGAGACAAGAATTTGAAATTTGACTTTGTTGTCCAGGGAGAGAACGTGCTACCGGTGGCATCGCAGTCTCAGGCGACCTGCAGATCTAGCTTTTGAGCGAGCGTGAGATTGTGGTGGGACCGGGGAAAGTGAATAGCCAAAAGGACAGGAAGACCCCAGAACGCTAAACCCACAACAACGGGATAGGTCCCAGCAGTATCTCAATGTGAAACATGTCTCAGAGAAATTCCTCGAGAAGATAAACTTGGCCCAGTTGTTGCTAAAATTATAGACAAGCGCTCTATTAAGTTAACAACTCCGAGCAGGGAACAAGCATCAGAATATGACATCAAACATAATTGATAATTGAAATGAGCACATAGGGAGAACTTCCCCCCGCTACTGCTTCAACAGTGAATCTGATTCCTGTGGCGACCGCTATCGGACGTCCGAATCTGATCTCCTGCGATAGTTGCTGCATGATGAAATTGATGCAAATAGAAGACTTTTAGAACGTGCAAAAATTGAACACGTGGTTATTGGGCAGTATCGTCGGCAAGAGAGTGACAATTGTTCGCATTGCAGAAGTAGATTGGAACTGGGGAACTGGAACAGAGACCACCGTCGGGATCCTGGGGCGTAGACGAAACGGTGGACAAGTGGTAATTGGAGAAGAATTCGACGATGGCGGAAAGACGGAATGTTTCAAGGAGCGGAAAGTCCATTTCTGTACCGACTCAGTTTGTAAACGAGCAGTAACAAGGTCAAACCTGAAGAACCCAAGCCGGAGGACTGCAAACGAAAAGTCAATCGGGAACAGCAGATCGGTGCAGGACATACCGGAATTAACCAGGGTGTTCATTCATGTTCATCTGGGCATCATGTTCTACGATGCAGTTCCGCAACTGCGTGCACAGTTCTAGCCACTCCTGGGACTGAGATTGGATATTATAGATACTAATCTTTTGTCATCGACAGGAGAAGAACCAAATGGATGGGAAGGGTATTACAGTAGAACCCCAAGGCTCTCAAGATGGCAAGGAGATTACGGTCGGATCTAAACAGCAACAGGCTATCAACCTGCACAAATGTTGTGTGACCAGCTCCGACATTCGGGTCAATCGACAAATGGCTCCGAATGAGCGGCAGGCAGCATTAGTATCACGTTCCTCCCCAGTAAAATAATGTGCAAGATTCGTCATCCTCGCCCTTTACCGTGATTAATTGCAAGTCCATGAGCAATACGCGCAATTGAGTCAGGCACAGACAGGATAGTCTCCGACGCTCGATTTTCTAGAAGACATTGTGGAAACGTGCATGGCCACTCATCGGGGGAAGAGGTTGTAAGATCGTCGAGGGCGATACTGTCGAGAGCTGCCACAAATTACAGTGCACAAATGATGTCAGATGCTCGAAATCGTGCTGGCTCGTACCGGATTTGTCCTCCGAATGAACGCAAATGTGAGTCAATTCTCGTCCGGCTTTGAGGTGGAGCCGTGGAAGGTTCGTCTGGCGCCAGAAGAACCTTCGTGGAGTGGAAATCGGGAGTCGCGGACTATTGCTGTAACCTCGACTAAATCTCCGACACCCGCTAAATACATGTAGGGGCACGGGCGTGGCCCGGTAAGTCAAATGGGAATCCGCAGGACATCGTGGCACTACAGATGGACGGTGCTGGTGGGACCGCGGGGCCACGGGCGGCTTTGGCGGATCTTCTTGACTGGCGTCGGCTGTTTCGATGGTGAATGGGGAGTGGCGGATAAGCGCCGTTTATGTAGGGTCGTTAGTCAACCCCGCGCCAGGGGGAGTTATCAGATCTCAGTTCCCCTTGTCTCATAAGGTACCGACGCTCTAAGTAACGCGGTCAATTTCGAACAGCGGCCATTTATGTCGCAGTCAACTTTTCTGTCCGCTCAGGAGAAACCTGACCGATAAGCTATCCGTTCAGCCGGTCAACACTGGGTCGAAGGTTTCCAGAAGTCTCAGATGTAAAACGATTAAACTCCAATCGTTTAAGAATGACATGAAAAATCCAGGAGTCCAATAAGAAGAAGTTTACTACCCCGTGTTCAAGGGAAACTAGTGTCAAACCATTCTCCGATTAAAACCTTAACGTGTACCTGGAAAAATAGTAAACTAGCTATGCAAGGTTATATAAATAATTTAAGTCTTCCTTTAGATTTTGGGCATATTCAAACCAACTTTCTCATGAAAAAATGAAAAAACAAAAAATAAAATTCCTCACCATCCAAAAATCACATCACATAGACACAAAAATAAAATGAGTAGACATATACGTGATTCGAGACTCTCGATACGAGATTCTCGTCAAATATATTTGCTGAAAAACCTATAAAATGTGTTAATGAAAATTGTGGATCTCACTTTATACATATTAGATTAAAAAAACCCTGAATCTAATCTTTACTAGGGTTAAGCTAATTAGAATTAATATGAGACTTGAATAAATAATAACATTTTTTCCCCTTAATTCATGTTGTGGGTACATAAACCTCCATAATCCATATAGATATTTTACAAAGTTCTAGAAGCAAATTTAACATAGATCACTTTTAAAATTAGAGCTAACTAAACCTAAGTCGTTACTAAAATAAGATAGAATGAAATAATATAAAAGTAGCAAAAGTTGCCAATAAACCCTTTTTGCATTCTCATGCAAAACTTTCACTTTCATGTCTCTTAAAACTCTCTAAAGTAATAATTTTGATCAATGCATGAACTAGATTAATATATAATGAATTTTGATTAGTTTGATCTCTTTATCAAAATCTCAATCTCAAATAAAATAATACATGATGTTGATGTATTTCAATATGTTATCTATCACTTGATTTGCAAGAAGGTACAAAGAAAACGTAATCTGACTACCACAATGAGGAACGATAACCTCTTATTTCAATCTCATTTTGATGATAAATATATTCAGTGAAATAATTTACTTTGCTGCTACATGTTAAACTTTCATAATGAACTAAGTAATGTATATTTGCAAAGTAAATTTTTAACTAATGCATTAATGTTAACATCAACGTAGCTTAGCAAGGATCTACTATTATCTAAAAATTCAAACAATATATCTCAATTCTTAGTACTTTTTATAAATCTAAAAATCAATTTCACCATTTTGCGATGCATCTTTTCTAGATTCATCATATATCTTCTCACATTACTCATAACTAGAGCAATGTCAGATCTTATACCTATCATCAAATACATGAAACTTTCTATAGCTTTGTTGACGATTGTTGATATCTCTTTACTTCTAAATGAATCAGATGTGCATAGATTTGAATCATGTTGCCAAAGGGATTCATATTTCTTCACAGTCAACCATATTTAACTTATCCAGCACTCGTGAAATATATTTGCCTTGATTCAATCATAGCCTTGTTTTCTTCAAGTTCATGTGAATATACGATTATAATACACTCTTAAACTTACCCAAATTGTTCATATTAATTGTAGAGTTTAATTGGTTTTTACATCTATCCCCGTGTGATTGATCTTATATCAAAATAAACATTTCATCCATGTTGAATACTAAAATAATTAAATTGAAGCTCTCATTATTAAATTTCACCTTGTATATACATGAATCATACATTATCTATGAAATTATTGTGTTTTCATGAACTCATCAAATCTTATATTTCATTGTCTAAAAGTTTACTTTAATCTTTATAATGATTTTTCCAATCTACAAATTTAATTCTCTTGTACATTCACTTGCAGTCAATCAAATCTTGATTACTTGGAAATTTCACTAGCTCCACGAGTCGCTAATAGATCTTTTTATCCATCAACAACAATATATCATACTTCATAACAACATTATACTCAAGTTTATTGATAGAGGCTTGAGTTTTTTTTATAATTATAAGTTTTTACATTTTAAAATATCAACGCAATCATCAAGATAAATGCCATCATCATTCTTAATATCAATATCACAATTGCAAATATAGAAGTGTTTGTTTATGATCCATAGCTTAATTAACCTTACTAATCTCCTATGATATTGTATAATATTTAGTCAATCTATATCATTTATCAAGATATTTGGAACTAATTAATAGTAACTTACAGCTTCAATTCATGTTCTTCAATAATTTGTTACATCTTTGTCAAACTTTTTTCTTGTGTTACATCATCAATCATATAATGATCAATCTTACTCCAACAACATCCATTAGTGTAGATTTATTCTTGTGAGTTTGAGTAGTGTAAATGAAAATCCACTTCTTTTGATGATCTACACGGATTGAGAAAAACATTCCTAATTGAGAATAATTTTACAAGCTATTGAATCTCATAGGTTATAATTCTTCACATCACCAACATTTAGAAACACAAAAACTATGAAACAACATTATGCATAACTTATGGCCTCATAAAATTAGTCAAATGACTATTTTAACTAAATTTCCGAAATATAGTCATTTTTATCCAAATGAAATTAGTCAAAATAGTCATTTCCTCTAAAAGTGCCATATTTTGTATTGAAATAACCTAAAACACGCAAAATATGGTCAATTTGGAGAGGTATTCACTTTTGATGCAACATTTGACGACACTTGAGAATGCCTTCAAGTGAAATATTGGTCAAAGAACGACGGAAATCGTCCTTCTTCCATTTAAACACGGAGTAATCGAACTCAAAAAAGGCAGTATTTGGAAATATTAAAGCAAGGGCGCCCGCGAATGAACAAAAGTCCGAATATTCAGAAGCAATGCCTTCAATGCCCCACGCTTCATCAAAATTTGCTGTTACAGGGTCACAGGAACGAGATAACAGAGACTTGAACCGACGTTGTTTCTCACACCGTAATTTCAGCGCGCTCTGTTGAGAGCAAATCTCCTTAATTCTTTTGTCGTTCCAGGTGACAAAAATCCAAGCGTGCTGCTGTTCAACTAGTTCAATCAATTTTTTGGGTCGCATTTCTACAATTTCCAGAGGAAGCGTGGGCAGAGTCTTGTTCACAGACCCGCAATTCATTGCGCTCAGCTTGGACGTCCTGCAGACCAACGATCAGAGTGCTGAACATTTCAGCAACGTTTTCAAGAATCTTATTGATTTCTTCCGGCCTTAATCCCCTCATGAAGTGAAAGGCGAACAGGCCTTGGTCGGTCACAAATCCGTTGAGTTCATGTTTCAAATAGCTAAAGCCATTGCATTGGATTACGTCTTCAACCGGACCAGCATGAGGATCCACCTCTACCACCTCCTCAACAAACGCCAACTTGCGAATTTGCTTCATACATTCTTTGATCTCGAACGACTATTGGCTTAAAAGGGCCTGTTTCCCATGCAGATGTTGAGCTCTTTCATTGACGTCTGTTGCAGTAACATTGACTGCAAGCAGATATATCCAAAAGGAAGGTGACGGTTGGCTTTTACGTCGTTCTAATAAGCTCTTGATAATGCTCCAAAATTTCAGTTTGATGTTCAAGAAGATAAGATGAAACACAAGACATCAAAATCCAACGGATTCTAGAGAGGGCCGGACAAGTCAATTCAATCGATCAATCAATGTCTTTTGTGGACGTATATGCGAAATCATACCGGTTGATGCCGGATAAAACTAGCCGTTATCAACTTTACGGAAGAGCTTTTGCATCACAACGTTAACCTGGTGCAGAGCACACCAAATTTGGACAAATCTAGATAGCCCGATGTTCGTACTACAAGTAAGTACCCCAGAAATATGGCTTGTCATGTTTGCAGCACCATCCGTTGAACATGCAATGAGCTTAGACTTCCAGTTAGTGCACAAAGCATTGAAAATCGTTTCAATAATGTTGAACATTGCAGAACCAGTATGGCTTCCAGAAAACAAAATTGCAATAAGATGGTAATTCAGAAGTTTGCCGCTAGAGTAAAGCCGAACGCGAAAGTCAATGTAAGAGGTACTTTGACAGTCCGATCCATCAACTGCAATTGCAAAGGCCTAGGCTTCATACAACAACTGCAAAATATTTTAGAAAGCAACGGCACAAACCACGTGAACGTACTTCGCCACGATCAAATCATTGCAATTGCCGAGCTAGACACAACTGGTCATCATTTTTGCATCTTGAATTGCAAATGCTGTCCGACGAAACGGAAGCACTATTCCCACAATAAGTGTGGCCAGTTGGTATTGTTTCACCTACTTCACTACAACCTCGTACTTGCCAGAGACTTCGTTGAGACGAAAAAGAGAAAAGGCATTCGATCTAGAATGATCGCAATCAACATCGTCCGGATTCCAAAGGATTCATCCGATAATAATGTCAACAATACCTTTGTTGAAGATGAAAGTCAACTGTTCTGATTGGTTAAACAAATAAAAAGGAATCGTTTCTGCTGCCTTGACAGTGACATCAAAGAAATTTCTTTTTCTCAGCGTCTGAAAGGTACTGATACTGAGCCCATTTCTGGGCTTGCTAAGACTTGAGATGATTCTGATAATTCTGTGGATGAAACGGTGACTTGAAAATCCAACAAGACCGTGATGCTTTCTTCTCG